GCATGTCCAAAAGGCACCCAAAAAGTCCCTAAAATGGTACCACCAAAATGGCACACAAAAACTGGCACCTCCCCAAATGGTACACAAAAAAACCCAAAATGGCACCACCAAAAGGCACCCCAAAAAACCCAAAATGGCACGTCAAAAGGCACTCAAGAAGTCCCTAAAATGGCACCATCAAATTGGCACACTAAAACTGCCACCCCCAAATGGTACCCAAAAAAACCCAAAATGGCACCACCAAAAGGCACCCCAAAAAAACCCAAAATTTCACCCCCAAAGTGGCACACAAAAACTGGCGCCTCCCCAATGGTACCCAAAAAAATCCAAAATGGCACCCCAAAAAGTCACCTAAAAAAACCCCAAAATGGCACCACCAAAGTGGCACACTAAAACTGGCACCTCCCCAAATGGGTGTCCAAAAACTGGCACCCAAAAAATGGCATGCCCAAAACAGCACCCTGAAAGTGGCCCCCCACAACCAGTACCCCCAAAATGGCATCCAAAAAGTGACGCTTCTGAAACAGCACCCTGAAAACATCACCCTCAAACTGACACCCCCAGCTTTGCTTCTCCCTGGGCACTGAGGACAAGGGACATGGTCACATCCCCACATCCCTGGAAGATGCCAGTGCTGGGTTCTTCATCCCCTGTGGAGCATGCTGAGTGACCCTGACCCCTCAGTGACCCAAAGCCGCAGGAGCCTCACCCTTGGCGCTGATGCTGCGCAGGTCTGTGATCTTCATGAGCATCTTGGGGAACATGTGGGGCCTGTTGGGCCTCCTCTTCCTCACGTAGATCTTCAGTGCCTCCAGCAGTGGCTCCTGCAGCTTGTCCACCCTGTCAGGCTGCTCCAGGTCCTGGCGGTCTGGGGAGGGGACACACAGTGGTTGGGCCCTTGCCATCCTGTGGGGTCCCAGCTCCCACTGCTTGGGCTTCATTTGGAGTCTCCCTGCTCAGCCATTGAGGAAGGACAGCCGGGCTGCACCGGGGGCCCACGGGCACTGGGCAGGTGGCCGTCCCTGCACCCACCTCCACAGATGAGGCAGATGGCACTGAGCAGCCCCGTCTCGGCGTCGTCCATCTCCAGCGGCAGCAGCTGGTTGGCGAAGGCGAAGACCAGGTCGGTGAGGGGCCCGAACCCCGCGTTGTGCATCTGCGTGCGGTTCAGCGTCAGCCCGTCCGAGAAGGTCATGGTGTCCTGCTCCGGCGTGTAGCGCGTGCAGATCCGCAGGATCTGAAGGAGACAAGCCGGGGAGCTCAGCCCGGTGTCCCCTGCCCGTCCCCGTCCCCGTCCCCGTCCCCGTGCTCACCAGGATGTCGAGGCAGGCGGCTTTGAGGAGGGTGATCTGGTCGGCGATGGTGAGCGTGGTGAAGCCGGGGAGCTGCTTGGCGAACTCCACCGTCTTGATGATGCACTTGGTGGACAACTCGCTGAACTTGTCCCACAGGTCGATGTCCAGCGACACGCGCTGCTCTGAGCTGTTGTTCTGTGGCGGGAGGTGGGGGATGAGGGCACTGGGGGGTGCCACACTCCCCAGCCCCCCCAAGACCCCCAGGAGCCCGTGACACTCACCGTAGTGTATTTGCCGAGCTGGCAGAGTGCGGGGAAGGTCTCCTGGTGGGCTTTGCGCACCTTCTCGATGAGCTCCTCCACCTCAGGTGTGATGATGTAGCTCTCCGAGCACTCCGGCTTGGGCACGTCCTTCTTCTTCTTGTTCCGGTCATTGCGGACGGCTGCGGGAATGGCAGAGTCAGTGTCACCTGGCCCCGGTGCCACCCAGCCCCTGCCCCACCCCACTCTGCCCCTCAGGGCAGGATGGGGACCTGCCACCAGCAATGGGCTCAGCTGTAGTCACAAGCTCCCAGCAGAGCCATCAGCCCCACAGATTCCTTTAAACAACCCCCCCAAGTCATTAGGGATGCAGTTAGAGCCTGAACTCCTGGGGGACCCACACCCCTGGCCAAGGGGACGGTGCTCTGCAAAGCCAACACATCAGAGAGGGACCCCGGGGACAGAGAATGGCAGCTGAGCCACCGTGCTGGGTGAGGGGCACAGGAGGGACCCTGGGGGTGGCAGCTGGGAAAGGGGGAACAGCTGGGAGGAGCCCCAGCCCTGCAGGGATCAGCCTCGGTGGGCTTAGAGGGCCAGGACCCCTCTTAGGTGCAGGGTAAGCCCCTGGGATGCTGAACTCCCCCTGGCAGTTCCTGGCTCCCCAGGCTCTGCCAGCTCCTCCCAGGGGTCCCAGTCCCCCAGGGGTTGGCAGATGGGGCAGGACTCAAGGAGGCAGCTGCACCTCAGCAGCCCTATCCCCCCAGGGCACCCACGGCGGGGGCACAGCCAGGCACCATGACAACTGCCAGCGGAGCCAGGAGGCCTCCTCAGCGTCATTTATCTCTGACATTATCAATCACGTGTTGCCCGGGAAACTGCCAGGCTGTGACACAATCCCAGGGGGTCCCCATCCCCCCCGGGCCTTGCTGGGCACATGGTGGGGGCTGCTGGGATGGCCCCATCACACCCAAAGCCCCCTGACCAGGACACCAGGCAGGGTGATCCCATCCCATCCCTGCTCTTCATCCCCATCCCCATCCCCATCCCCACTCACACTCCTTGGACATTCCAACTTCGAAGCACTTCTGGAGCCGGCAGTACTGGCACCGGTTGCGTGTCACCTTGTTGATGATGCAGTTCTTGTCCCGGTGGCACGTGTACACCATGTTCTTCTGGATGCTGCGGCGGAAGAAGCCCTGGGGACCCGGCACGCCCCGGTCAGCGCCCGGCACGGGGACCCCGAGCACCCCGGGGAGCCCGGGCAGCAGTCGGGGCCGGTGGCAGCGCTCACCTTGCAGCCCTCGCAGGCGCTGACCCCATAGTGGTACCCCGAGGACTTGTCCTGGCACACGAAGCAGGGCTTGTAGATGCGGGGCAGGGGTGGGGGCGAGGGGGGGCTGGGCACGATCTCCTCCGAGCTGGTGCTCTGCGTCTCGACGGCTGTGGGGAAGGGGAGGCACTCAGGGCACGGAGCCCCCCAGGAAGGGACCCCCCCCAGCCCGCACCCCACGGCTCCTCCCCAGCTCCAGGGGTCCCGGCAGCCCCAGCCCCGCGCTGCCCACCCCGGCCCTGGCGCCAGGTCGAGTGGGGCCAGCAGGGAGAGGACGCGTGCTGGGAAGATGCAACGTGACATTTCCAGGTCACAGAGACGATGTGGAATTCAGGCGGACAAAAAAAAAAAAAAAAAAATACAAAGAAAAGGGCCGAGATCCCAGGAGCCCCCAGCCCAGGGCGGCACTGCCAGTGGGTGAGGGGATGGAGGGTGCAGGGCCAGCGTGGGGGGGCCAGTGCCACACACTCAGTCACACGTGTACAGTGTGACACCCACAGGGTGACCCCCACAGCCCGAGGGTCACCCACCACCCCCAGCCAAAGCAGGGGCCCCCAGGAGGGGACAGCCACAGTGGCACCCAGCTGGCACCCCAAAGTCCCCCAGTGGAGGACAACTCCAAAGGCAGCGCTGCCTTTGTTCCCGTAACAAGCAGACCCTGGCCCTGACATCACAGGGAACACAGCCAGTACCCCTGCACCCCAAAACCTCATGGAACATGCCTGCACCCCAAAACCTGAAGGTATGTGCCTCTTGCACCCCAGAAGCACCCCTATGCCCCAGGGGCCTGCGGGAGGTGCCCAAGTCTCCCAGATCAAGCCACGGCCCTGCCCTTGCACAGCCTGGGCAGGGAGGGGTTCAGTGCACTTGGGGTGCACCCCTGGAGCTGGGGGGACCCAGAACAGTTGGGGGTGCACCCCTGACACAGGGAAGGCTCAGCACAGTTTGGTGCACCCCTGGCATGCAGGGCAGGGGGGTTCAGCACGGTCAGGGTGTGCCCCGGGAGCTGGGAAGGGGCTCAGCACAGTTGGGGTGCAGCCCCGGCGTGGGGCACAGCCAGGCAGGGGTTAAGCGTTCCCCGGCTGCTCCGGGATGTTTGCGAATGTTTTTCTGCAGCAGAGCCAAGCGAACCAGTCAAACAGGATATTAAAGGCCAGGCCCGGCGGGGGAGCCTGGGCCCCCCCCCCCAGCCCCGCCGGCCCCTGCACCCCAAAAAGGGCCCCACGGCCGCCAGAGTCCCCCTGGGGCCGGGGAGCCGCGGGGAGCCCCGGCCGGGGACACCCAGCCCGGAGAAGGGGCCCCAGAGGAGGGGGGGGTTTGGGGAGTGAGGGGTGGGGGTCCCCAGCCCGGCAGTGCCACGGGCCCCTCGCCAAAGGCCACGGGATGGGGCCAGGGAGGGGACAACGGGACAAAGCCACCCCCGAGCTTGTCCCCAGGCGCCAACGGGGACGGGGAAAGTGCGGGGTGTGGCAGGAGCGTGCGGGGCAGGGTGAGGAGTACCTGGGGTGGGATGGGACACGAGTGTGTGGGGTGGGACACGAGTGTGTGGGGTGGGACACGAGTGTGTGGGGCACGAGGGGAATGTGTGAGGTGGGATATGAGGGCACGGAGCCGATTGTGCAGGGTGGGATATGAGAGCGTGGAGTGTGCAAGGTAGGATATGAGCGTGCAAGGTGGGATACAAGCGCGTGTGGGGGGCTGGGAAGGGTGCGGGGGGGGGGAATGGGAGTGTGCAAGGCGGGATACAAGGCTGCGAGGTGGGATGTGGGTGTGCAGGGTGGGATACGAGGGTGCGGGTGGGGACACGGGCGCGGGGGCGAGCGCCGGGCAGAGCTCCCGGGCTGAATAAATCACCGCTGCCACTCGAGGGAGCGGAGCCATTAAAGTGACTGAGAGAACGTCGTCTATAATTTATCGCCTCTTTTATATAATTTAAGAACTTCCTCGTGGAGAGCTGCACTCACAAAACGCGGATTTGACAAGATTTTGATGTGCTGGATGCGGAGGGGGGCAGGGGATCCGGCTCCCTCCGCGTCCCTGCGCTGGCAGAGCTGCGCCAGCACCCCGGGAATCCCCTGCCACCCCCGTCACCGCCGTGCCACCGCGGAGGGAACAGGGACACGGGCACAGCCGCCAGCCTGGCCAGGAACCTCCCTGATGGTATCACCAGACCTGGGTGCCCCTCGCGCCCCTGGGGGGCACGGGAAGGGCACAGAGCAGCACCCAAAGGCGCTGAGCAGGGCAGGATGGGTGCCAACCTCCCCTGCTGGAACACGGCTGGGTGCCGGGCTGCAGCTGGGGACACGGTGGCCCCCAGTGCCCAGGCTCGGCCCGATCTCCCCCCGCAGCAGAGGGGACCCCGCTGTCCCCCCCCGGCCGAGGCAGCGCAGCCCGGCTCCAGCTGCAGACCAGATGCGGCGGCTCCGGCGGATCCCGGGTGAACGCCGAACGCGCCGCCCCCGCCCGCGGCCCCGCCGGCTGCTTCCTGCCCGCGCCGGGGGACCCCGGGGCACCCCGACACCCGCACCCCCGCCCTGGCGTGGGAAAGCGCCTGCGGGGACACCCCGTGTGCCGCTGCCCGCGGGGGACACCGGCTCCTGCACCGCCACCACCCCGCCGCGGCTCCGGGACAGACCCGGCCAGAGCAGCAGAGAGGACGAGGATGGGGGGACCAGAGGGGGGAGCCCACCCGAGGGTCGCAGCGGGGGTCACCGGGGGTCCCCGCTGCCCGGTGCGCGGTGGCAGTGCCGTGCCAGGGGTCGCAGCCCCCCACAGGAGGGTGGAGGCCCAGCCAGGGCTTCCCTGCGGATGAGAATCCCACGTGCCCCGAATTCCTGCGCCTCTGCGGGAGAAGGGGGAGGGAGGGAAGAGGGTGCCGGGAACCCGGAGCCGTGGGCTGCCCGGTCCTGCTCACGGCCACGGGGCTCAGCCCACCGGGCACGCCTGGTCCCCACGCTCCCTACCCAAGACCTGGTGTCTGCCCCCTGCCAGCACCAGGGTCTGGCGTCCCCAAAACGCTGACACACCCATCTATATAACCCACAGTTTTTGCAAGGCCATGTGAGGCCACCCTGTGCCCAGCGGAGGGGTGCCACGCACAATCCAATCCCACGCACCCCTCTCCCACTCCCACAGCACTCCAAAAAGCCACAACAGAACATGGCTCCACAGGGGCAGGGGGTTCTCGGTGGGCTCCTACAAGATTTTCCACTACCCTCAGGAGCTGCCTCGTGCCTCTGCTTCCCCACGGTGGCAGCCCGAGTCCTCTCCGGGGGTGTGGGTGGGCTCTCCGTGCCCCACGAGCAGCTCTGGCTCCTATGCCAGCACAACACACCCCGCCGGGCAGGGCAGTGCCACGCTGGGCCAGCAGCCAGCACCGCGGGGCCAGCGGGCACGGCCGCAGCTGGCTCGGAGGAAACTGAGGCACAGCACGGCTGCCCGACACCGCTGAGCCCTGCCCGGGCTGGCACCCCCGGGCTGGGGAGACACCTCGTGTGACGTCGGGAGCGGGGCACAGAGCCAGGGAGTCCCGCCAGCGCCCGCCAGGTCATGGTCACCGTGACCAGAGCCCCGAGGTGGCCCAGCCAGGACAAGGGGACCCACGTCCACCAGCGCTGTGGCCCACGGGGAGAGGGCTCTGTCCCCCGCAGGACTGGGGGGCACAGAGAGGGGACAATGGCCCCCAGCTGCCCTGCTCAGGACAGTCACAGCCGGGGGGCCCAGCGCTAAGGGGTGGCACTGGAACTCGGGACCCCCCTGCCCACCCTGCCCGAGCAAAGCCTCGGGGGCAGCCCCCACCCCTCGCAGAGGCAGCGGGAGCCCCGGCATGTCCCCAGCGCAGACAAAGGCCCCTCGGCCGCGCTCGGTGCCAGCGCAAAGGTCGAGCGGCCCCGAGACAATGAGGGGAGCAGGGGGAGCGGGGGTCCACGGCCACACAGCCTTTGCACAGCGCCGGCCACGGGCACCCCGCCATGGGCCTCCGCCGTGGATCCCCGCCCTTATCGGGGTGAAAGTCCCACGGAACCCGGCAGGACTTTCCCTGGGCCGTTGTGGTGGCCCCTGCGTGCCAGGACTCCGGCTGCCCACAGCCGGGACACGGCACTCCTCCAGCCCCCCCCAAACCTCACTCGCCCCCCACACCGTGGGCACAAACCGGAGCAGGGCTCCACATCCCGCTGGGGGAACAGCTCCCAGGCTGGCCGGCACTCGGAGCGCGCTGCCCGCGCCCCCCGCTGCCCATCCCGGTACGGCGGTGTCCGTGCCCCCCCCTCGCACAGAGCACCGGGCCGTGACCCCTCCAGGGACAGCGCAGGGTCCCGCCAGCGGGAACGGGACTGGCCCGACCCCGCATCCACACCCGGAACCCACCGGCCCAGGGGGACCCCCCGATCCGCGGCAGGGTGGGGGCCCAGGCTGGGGCTCCCCCGCGCCTGGGCAGCAGCGGCGACTCCGTCTGTAGTTAATTGGATTTTCCCGGAGCCTTTATCAGGAGAGAGCGAAATTCCCGGCGGAGCCGGCGCTGCCCGGACCCCGCTGCGGGAAGGGGGGGGCGAGAGGTGATCCCCCCTTCACCGAGCTCGGCCCCGAGGTCCCGACTGCCCCCGAAATAGGGCAGGGGGTGCTTAAAGAGCCGGTGGCTTTTGCGCATGGAGCGGGTGGGGAGGGAGGCTGAGCCCCGCGCTCCTCCAGGACCAGCACTCAGCTCAGCCCCCCGCCCACGGCCAAAGCCCCCGCAGCCATCCCCGCACCCCGCAGCCCTCCCCGCACCCCCCCCACACCCGCCCGGGTTTCGGGGCCGCTCTCCCCGGCCCCATGCGACGGACGGGGGGGGTCCGTCCGCCCCCGGTGCGCAGGTACCTACAGCGGCCGGAGCTGCTCCACGGCGGGGGGCGGCGGGGGGGGCAGCCCCGGGGGCCCGGCCCGTAGAAATCCATGCGGAGGAAGGGGCCGGGGGGCAGCCCCGCCACCGCCGCGCCCTCGTACATGGCCCCGGGGCGGCGGGGGCGGCTCCCCCGGCCGGGGCGGCCCCGGGCGGTCAGTGCCCCCCCCCGCGCCCCCGGGGCGCCCCGCGCCGCGCTGCCATCGCCCCGCGGAGCGGCCCCGCCGCTCG